TCATATTCAGTTTATTAAAAGTTTTGATCTTTTTTTTAATATTAATTATTTCAGTGTTTATTCTTTGATAATATTTGATTTGAAATATAAAAATCTATAATTATTTTTCCTCGTTACTTTCAGGAATATAACTGGTGTAATTAGGATGGAGCCATAACGCCGKGTTATATATTATATATGTGGTGAAATTTTTTTTTTTTTTAATACCTAGTTAAAGAAAATATGTGACATAATATATTATGAATTAATTTAGGAATTTGTTATACCCAACATATAAAAGGTATATAATTATTATCGTATTGATTTATAAAATTACAATTTCAAATTGTATACATAAGAATTAAGATATTATATTATTTTCCAAAGTTAACTGATTAAAAGTTATACAAATCCAATAGTTACCTACTATTGTTTAACAATTTTAACATTCAATATTATGTTTTTCATGTTCATAGTTGTATAATTATTCAATAGACGTTATAATATATTTTAGCTAACAAATAAAAGCTATTTATTCTAGATTCTATACACAGTGAAGTAATGAATGTAATGGTTTTACAATTAAATATTTTTTTTTTGTGTGCCTGAAAACAATTTTTCTAGTACTATAATAATATTATTCAAATAATTGTTTTGTAATCTTGGTTAAAAGAAAGTTTTATAGCATCTTCGCTTAGAATATTTTTTCAATGTCATAATTTTTTTATACTTTTTACATGTAAAAAAGTTTGGATCCCTCTGAAAAATTGAGGCACATCCTTGATTATCATAGCTTCGTTTTCTAACTCCAATAGATTGCCATGGAGTGGCTAACACACACACAGGAATTTCATTTTGGCTCACGAAACTATTGTTATATTATAAGGTGTAATTAGCCACAGAAATAAAACGAAACTTTATATAATATATCGTGTACAAGTAAATATAGATATATTTGTATGACATATTATATTATATTAAAAAACTACTCAACCGATTTTGTCAATTATTTCAAAGATTATTGTTCTTAGAAGAATTAGGAAAAGGTAAAGAGTAG